CGGGACCAGATCCAGCGCATGAACCCGCCCAAGTTCAGCAAGGCCGAGGACATGGCCGAGCTGACCTGCCTCAACGAGGCCTCCGTCCTGCACAACCTCCGCGAGCGCTACTATTCGGGCCTCATCTACGTGAGTGGCCGCCGCCCGCGGGAGGGGCTGGTCCCGGTGGGGAGCGGCGGGCCAGGACCCCCACCCGAATTAACGTGGGGCTATTTCTAATCCCTTTTTTTTTGAGTTGGGGTGGCCCGGCTGATTTTCCTTATTGTTTGCATTAACGGGTCTCGCTATGTTGCCCAGGCTGGTCTCCAACTCCTGGCCTCAGGCGATCCTCCCACCCTGACCTCCCAAAGTGCTGGGATTCTAGGGGTGAACCACCATACCCAACATATTTCTATTCTTTATCCTGTGTCCTGTGACTATGCCTACAATTGTTGCCAAATTATAAGTCAATGGGTTACCAGGATGCCTCAGGCCCCATTGGGGTTATCACATAATATATAAATAATATTATTTTCCTTAAGTTAAAAAAAAAAATACCTGGCCAGGCTCAGCCTGTAATCCCAGTACTTTGGGAGGCTGAGGCGAGTGGATTGCCTGAGTCCATGGGTTTGAGACCAGCCCAGGCAACTTGGTAAGACTTCGGCCCTACAGTAAATAAAAAACTAACTGGGCATGGTAACACGCACCTATAGTTCCAGGTACTTGGAAGGCTGAGACAGAATGATCGCTGGAGCCCAACAGGTCGACACTAGGGTGACTTATGACTGTGCCACGGCACTCCAGCTTGGGTGACAGAGTGAGACTCCAACTCAGTCAATCAATAAATATAAAATAAAATAAAATAAAATTCCAGTTTCTGGCCAGGCATGGTGGCTCACATCTGTAATCCCAACACTTTGGGAGGTCGAGGCAGGAAGATCACTTGAGGTCAGGGGTCAGGAGTTCAAGACTAGCCTGGGCAACAGAGTGAGAACATCATCTCAACAAAAAAAAAAAAAAAAAAAATTAGCCAGATGTGATGCACACCTGTAGTCCCAGCTACTCAGGAGGCTGAGGTGGAAGGATTACCTGAGCCCAGGAGGTCGAGGCTGCAGTGGTCATGATTGTGCCACTGCAATGTAGCCTGGGTGACAGAGTGAGACCTTGACTCAAAAAAGATTTCAGTTTCTCAAATATAATTCATCCCAAGGGTTTTAAGAAAGGCATGTGGACCTGGAACAATAATTAATAAGAACCACTGGGTATAGAAAATGATGCACTAGACTGTGAGCTAAATGCCTACATATTAATTCATTTAATCTCACCTTAGGCAAGGTAGTGTCAATTATTATCCCCATCTTACATCAGAGGCAACTGAGCCCAGAGAGAGTTGATAAAAATGAAAATGCACACTTATCACACATTTACTAAGCACTCTTCTTAACATTACCTCCCTAAGTTTTCACAATCATAAAGCATTTGGCCTCATTTTACTGGTAAAACAATTGAGGCACAGAGAGGTCAGGTTCCTTGATCATACAGTTAAACCAGGCATGGTGATTCATACCTGTAATCCCAGTCCTTTGGGAGGCTGAGGTAGGAAGATCGCTTGAGGCCTGGAGTTCAAGACCAGCCTGGACAACATAGACCCTATCTCTAAAAAAAAAAAAAATTAGGCTGACATGCTGAAACACGCCTGTAGTCCCAGCTACTTGGGAGGCTGAGGCGGAAGAATCACCTGAGCCCAGGAAGTCAAGGCTTTGGTGAACCGTGATCACACCACTGTACTCTAGCCTGGGCAACAGAGTGAGGCCTAAACTAAAAAAAAAAAAAAAAAATTCAATTTCTCAATTATTATTCATCTCAAGGGTTTTGAGAAAAAAGAATGTGAACCTGGGACAATAATTAATAAGAATCACTGGGTATAGAAAACTAGACTGTGAGCTAAATGCCTACATATTAATTCATTTAATCTTACCTTAGGCAAGGTAGTGTCAATTATTATCCCCATCTTACATCAGAGGCAACTGAGCCCAGAGAGAGTTTATAGCAATGAAAATGCGCATTTACTAAGTACTCTTCCCAGCATTGCCTCCATAAGTTTTCACAGTTATAAAGCATTTGGCCGCATTTTACAGGTAAAACAATTGAGACACAGAGAGGTCAAGTTCCTTGATTAAGGTCATACAGTTAAGCCAGCCATGGTGGTTCATGCCTGTAATCCCAGCACTTTAGGAGGCCAAGGTGAAAGGATTGCCTGAGGCCAGGAGTTCGAGACCAGCCTGGGCAACTTGGCAAGACCTTGCCTCTACAATAAATCAGAAAATTAGCCAGGTGTGGTGGTATGTGCCTGTAGTTCCGGCTGCTTGGGAGGCTGAGGTGGAAGGATCACCTGAACCCAGCAGGTCGAGGCTGCAGTGGCCATGAGCGTGCCATTGCCATCCGGCCTGGGTGACAGAGTGAGACTCTGACTCAGAAAAAAAAAGGTCATGAGTTAGCCCTGGCAGACCCAGGGAGTCTGGCCCCAGGCTTTCCCACTTTGCTGTGGTGCCTCTTAAGATTGAAGGTGGGATTGATGATAGTGAGGTTGACTATGGTGGTCTCCCTGCCTCCGTGCTAAGCATTTGTTATCTGTCACATTATATAATCTCTACAGCAAATGATGGGACAGGGCAGTGACTTTTAACCTCGGCTTCATGTTAGATTCATCTGGGGAATTTTAAGAAAATACCAATGCCTGAACCCCACCCTAGACCTTTAAGTCAAGCTCTCTGGGAGGTGGAACACAGACACTGGTATTCTTAAGAAGCTTCCAGGGCGGTTCTAATGAGCAGCCAAGGGGCTAGTAATTCCATTTAACAGAAGAGCAAATAGGATTAGAGAGACTGACACGGAATGTGGACAACAATAATGAAAAATAATAAAGAGTGGCTGGCAAATATTTATTGAGCACTCATGAGGTGCTGAGCACCATTCTAAGTGCTGCGTGTGAGTTATCAGCTAACCGCTGGGCCAGGGACTGTTGGTGTTGCCTGACATTCAGGAATGTTAAGTGATCTGGGCCCAGGCCACCCAGCCGTGAAAGAGTCATGCCAGGATTTGAACCCAGGCAACTGACCCCATGTTCCAAACTCCATCTTGAACTGGTGGGGTCTCAGAGACTTGCCCTAACATCCTCCACCCTGTGGAGGGTCACAGACACAAGATGAGAATGTTTTTGGAGACTGAGGCTCTGAGAGGGACGGTAGCTGACCTAGGGCCACTCAGCGTGTGGTAGAAACTGGGATTTGAGTCAAGGGCTGTCTGGCTGTGGGTGGGACGGGCACATTCTCCAGGCTGTACCGGCCCCTTCCTCACACACCTTCACAAGCCCTGGGAAAGAGGCTTCTGACCCACTCCCCTGGATCTCGCCAAAGACCCCACAGATCAGAATGACACCCAGAACATTGAGCCCCTCTCTGCCTCTTTTTTTTTTTTTTTTTTTTTTTTGAGTTGGAGTCTCACTCTGTCGCCCAGACTGGCCACCCCAGCCTCGACCTGCTGGGCTCCGGCGATCCTTCCGCCTCAGCCTTCCAAGTAGCTGGAATTACAGGCATGCGCTACCACGCCCGGCTGATTTTTTTATTTATTGTAAAGATGAGGTCTCGCTGCCCAGGCAGGTCTCGAACCCGCGGGCTCAGGCAATTCACTCACCTCAGCCTCCCAAAGGCGTGGGATTACAGGCTGAGCCACCGAGCCCGGCTTCTCTGCCTCTTTTTATTTTCATTTTTATTTATTTATTTTATTTTATTTTTTTGAGTTGCAGTCTCACCGTCACCCAGGCTGCAGTGTAGTAGCACGCTCACGGCTACCGCAACCTCGATCGCCTGGACTCTGGCAATCCTTCTGCCTCAGCCTTCGAAGTAGCTGGAACTACAGGCACATGCCACCATGCCCGGCTAATTTCTTGATTTATTATAGAGATGAGGTCTCACCAAGTTGTCCAGACTGGTCTCGAACCCCTGAGCTCAGGCAATCCTCTTGCCTTGGCCTCCCGAAGTGCTGGGATTACAGACGTGAGCCACCAGGCCTGTCTTCATTCATAAATATTTTAAAATATTTATTTATTGAGATGGGGGTCTTGCTATATTCCCCCAGCTGGTCTTGAACTCCTGGCCTCAAGTGATTGATCCCTTCACCAGGACCTCCCAAAGTGCTGGGATTACAGGCATGAGCCGTCACACCTCTTAGCCTCGTAATAAATACTCTGAATCCTCACAGCAACCTGTGAGGTAGCTGCTGTCATCCCCATTCTGCAGGTGGGAAAACTGAGCCTCCGAGAGAGGACAGGACTTGGATATAAGCCCCATAGCTAGGAACTAGCTAAGCTGGGGTTTGAACTCAGGTCTGTCTGACTGTAGACCCTAGGTCCTAGCCACTGCATTAAGATTATTCAGAAAGTTCACGGGGGGGGGGGTGAAATGGTGGGACCTGAGTGAAGGTGATGGCTGGGGAGCCAGAGGTTTGGAGCCTAGGAAGTGCAAGTGAGGTAGAAGATTCTGGAAGTATATCGGGACTTAATAAGATCAGCAGCTGAGCATGGTGGCTCATGCCTGTAATCCCAGCACTTTGGGAGGAGAGATGAGAGGATTGCTGGAGCCCAGAGGTTCGAGACCAACCTGGGCAACTTGGCAAGACCTCATCTCTCCAGTAAATCAAAAGAAAATTAGTTGGGTGTGGTGGAGCATGCCTGTAATTCTGACTACTTGGAAGGCTGAGGCAGAAGGATTGCCTGAGCCGGTCAAGGCTGCGGTGGCCATGAATGTGCCACTGCACTCAAGTCTGAGCGACAGAGTAAGACTTTGACTCAAAAAAACAAAAAAAGATCATTAGCATTTAGTGAGTACCTGCTTTCACAGTTGGGTGCTGGTCTGAATTTCTTTCCAAGACTATCTCACTGATCCTTCCTCATCCACACAAGGCTGTGAGGTAGGGATTATCACCTTTCCCCACAGCCAGCAGAGGGGAAGCCACGGGCCCAACAGAAGCTGATAGTGGCTAACACATGGAGCATGAGCAGTGTTTCCGGGTCCATAGTAAGCCCTGCGCATGCACAGGAGCTTGTGGGTGGCTCCCAGCACTCAATGTGGGAAGCACTGTTTATATTCCCATTAGATAAGGACAGTGAGCTGGGCGTGGTGGTTTATACCTGTAATCCCAGCACTTTGGGAGGCTGAGGCAGGATTGTTTGAGCCAGGGAGTTAGAGATTAGCCTGGGCAGCATAGGGAGACCTCATCTCTACAAAAAATGAAGAAACTAGCCAGGTGCACCTGTAGTCCCAGGCGTACACCTATAGTCCCAGCTACTCGGGAGACGGAGGTGGGAGGATTGCCTGAGCCCAGGAGGTTGAGGCTGCAGTGAGCCATGATCATGCCACTGCACTCCAGCCTGGAGAACAGAGCTGCACTCCAGCCTGGAGAACAGAGTGAGACCCCAATTTTTAAAGAAATAAAAAGAAGTATTCCATTAAAAAAAGAAAAAGGAAAGATAAGGACAGTGAGACCCAGAAGTTTTGCTTGCTGAAGCCACCCAGCCTGAAAAATGTTAGAGGTATGATTCAAGCTCCACTCTGCTTAAAAACTGTAGTTTTTGTTTGTTTGTTTTTGTTGGGGCCTCACTCTATCACCCAGACTGGAGTGCAGTGGCACAATCAGGGCTCACTGCAGCCTGGACCTCCTGGGATCAGACAATCCCCCTGCCTCAGCTTCCCCAGTAGCTGGGACTACAGGTGTGTGCCACCGTGCCTGGCTAATTTCTTTTTTTTTTTTTTTGTAGAGACAAGGTTTTGCTGTGTTGCCCAGACTGGTCTCTAACTCCTTGGTTCAAGCAGTCCCAAAAGTGCTGGGAATATAGGCATGAGCCACGGTGCCCAGCCAAAACCCGCGCTTGATACATGTTTGTTGACTGGCCAACCAGTGGTCTGGAAGGCAGTTGTCCATTGGAAAGCGAGGTGTCTGGGAATCCAGAAACCCAGTGTCTGCCACCAACAGGCTGTTTGTCCTCGGGTTGCTCAGGGCCTCCGTCTGTTCACTGGGACTCTCAGGTCAGGAGAGGGAGTTCATGTAGGGTGCACCCTGTTCCATAAAGCACTGGGAGACGCATTGTGGCATTTCACTCTCAAAACCCTTCTAGGTGACAGCATTTAAAGACCCCATTGTCTTCAGGAAGATTGCCCGAGCCCAGGAAGTTGAGGCTGTGGTGAGCCGGGATCGTGCCACTGCCCTCCAGCCTGGGCAACAGAGTGAGACCCCCCAACTCAAAAGAAAAAAAAAAGTCCCATTTTCCAGGGCTGGAGACAGAGAGGTTCAAGGGGACAAATCCTTCATGCCAAGTCAACACAGCCAGAAGACACCATGTCCCTGAATTTGCACCCGGCATGGGGTAGCCTCAGCATCTGTGTGCCCCTGGGCTCTGTGGAGGGACGGTGGCGTGAGCCTCAGGACCCGGGTTTGGTGTTGGCTGTGGGGGCGGGGCCCACCCTGGCTTGGCTGGTTTTTATTTATTATCTCCTTTCATCCCCGCAGCCTTTGTGAGGAGGTGGGGAGTGCTGTCCTTGGCTTCCCAAGGAGGAGACTGAGACAGACTGCGGGGGAAGTTGCTGGTTGCTGGGCCGGGAAGGGTGGGGCCGGGACATCTTCAGACCCTGAGGGCAGCCACCTCGGACTCCTCCAGCCGGGCTTCTCCAGCCACACAGGGCAACTCGGGGAGTTGCCCCGACACTCAGCAGCCTCTGGCCTTTGCCCCCTGGCCTGGCTGGCCTGCTCAGGTGTCTGTTGTCATGGTGTCACCCTGGAAACGAGGTGTGGCTGGAGGGAGGGGCTGGGAGGGGGGCAGAATGGGGAGTGGGCTCCCGACAGACAGCCCTAGTGGGCGCCGGTAGCCATGAGATACCCTCCCAGGGAATGCGGTCCAGCCGCCCCACCCTCAGAGCCCAGCTCCAGGGAGCAGCCCTTTAAGGCCTCTCAGGCTGGGAGGCAGACACCCAGCAAACCGGTTGTTCCACTCCAGGCTGGCCACCCACCCTCCCGCTGTTAGGAGTCTGTCTGGGAGCTTAAAGCAGTCCTAGTCCTGGCACCATGGCTCACGCCTGTAATCCCAGCACTTCAGAAGGATTGCCTGAGCTCAGGGGTTCGAGACCGGCCTGGACAAGATGGTGAGACCTCGTCTCTACAAAAAAAAAAATTGAAAAATTAGGCCATGTTGGTGTGTACTTATAATCTCAGCAACTTGAGAGGCTGAGGCAGGAGGATTGCCTGAGCCCAGGAGGTTGAGGCTGTGGTAGCCATGATCGTGCGTGCCACTGTACTCCAGCCTGGAGAACAGAGTAGGAGCCTAACTCAAGGGAAAAAATACAAAAAACAAAAGCAGTCCTGCTGCCAACTATCTTAGTAACCAGCTCTCTGGGTAACGGTAACTAGCTGGCCAAGTAGCTAACTGGTTAATAGTTAACTAGCTCTCTGGCTGGTTTAGGTAAATGCCTGACCAGCTTTCTAGCTAACTGTTTCTGTGCTCACTGAGTACCCCTTCGCCTGCTTGCCACCCCTGTGAGCTGGACCAGTTCTTAAACCATCACCGAGTCCTGAATCTAGGACGAAGAAGTGTGTGGATAGAATTCGGGGTGTCCATGAACTTGGATGCCAAAAAAATCTACATATTTCTTTTCACTCCCCTTGAACCTGAAATGTAGCATTTCCTTTAATAAAAATGTACTACTAGGCTGGGTGCAGTGGCTCACACCTGTAATCCCTGCACTTGAAGAGGCCCAGGCGAGAGGATCACTTGAGCCCAGGAGGTGGAGACCAGCCTGGGCAACATAGCGAGACCATGTCTCTACAAAAAAAATGTTTTTAATTAGCCAGTGTGGTGGCGCACGCCTGTAGTCCCAGCTGTTTGGGAAGCTGAGGCGGAAGGATCTCCTGAGCCCGGAAGGTCAAGACCATGATGAACTGAGCCATGATCGTGCCACTGCACTCCAGCCTGGGTGACAGAGTGAAACCCTGACTCAAAAAAAAAAAAAAAAAAAAAATTCCCCAAAGCATAGTCGTGTAAACAGGACTCTTAACAACTGTGTCCCCAGAACCATAGTCATGTTCCTGCTGCATTTCAGCTGCAAATCCGACAAACACCCTTCCTGAGACATTCCATGTATACTTGAATAACTGTATGGCAGTAATCCTCTTCCACCCCTCCTAGCGCAGATGGGTCTTCATACAGTCCCTGACATGTTCCCCCCCTTTTTTTTTTTAATAGAGACGAGGTCTCACCAAGTTGCCTCGTCTGGTCTTGAACCCTCGGGCTCAGGGAGTTCACTCACCTCAGCCTCCCAAAGTGCTGGGATTACAGGCTGAGACACCGAGCCTGGCCTTTGTTCCCTGTCTTTTTTTTTTGAGTCGGAATCTCGCTCCGTCGCCCAGGCTGGAGTACAGTGGCATGCTCACGGCCACCACAGCCTCGACCTGCTGGTCTCAGGCGATCCTTCCACCTCATCCTTTCAAGTGATTGGAACTGCAGGCATGCGCCATCACTCCTGGTTAATGTTTTTATTTATTGTCGAGAAGAGATCTTGTCAGGAGCCCAGGTTGGTCTTGAAACCCTGGGCTCAGGCAGTCCTTTTGCCTTTGCCTCCCAAACTGCTGGGATTACAGACATGAGCCACCGCGCCTGGCCCTGATGTGTTCCTTTCACTCGGTTATGTTCTGAGTACAGTCCTGTGTCTGTACCTTGAGTTTCCTGGGAATCCCCCATCTGCGCATGCATTCAGGTCTCTTCCAGACTTTTGCAGCTCCCAAGAGCTTCATCGGATGACCTCGCATGTGGTCGTTTCAAGTATTTGGGTCCAGGCAGACACAGCTGTGGCCCGTCTGACTGGCTGCACAGGCCACCTTCTCTCTCAGGGTGAATGCTCATCCAGACGGTGACTTTGTGCGATTTGGAGGGATTCTTTTCTATTATCAGCCCAAAAATGCTCATCATGGTTATTCAAATCTACATGGTCATGGTGCAGATGCTCTTGTGTAGTGCACAGCCTGCCCAACTGTACACTGCAGCCCCAGGATGCCATTCTGGCTACAGGCCGGCGGCTGAGACCCTCTCTGCTCTCCTCCACTATAGACATACTCTGGGCTCTTCTGTGTGGTCATCAACCCGTACAAGCAGCTTCCCATCTACACAGAGGCCATCGTGGAGATGTACCGGGGCAAAAAGCGTCACGAAGTGCCACCCCACGTGTATGCAGTGACCGAGGGTGCCTACCGGAGCATGCTCCAGGGTGAGTGCTGGGCTGGGGCTGCAGGCCACCCGGGCAGCCCTATGAGGGGGACCTGGCCAGGTGCTGCCAGGAGCCAGGGTCAGGGTCAGGGTCAGATGCCAGCTCGGGGATTCTGGGGGGCTGCTAGGAGGCTGGGGGAACACAGTTAGGGGGCCAAGCGGGCGGGGCTCTGGATCCTAGAGCCTTCTTTTTCTTTTCTTTTCTTTTTTTTGAGTTGGAGTCTCACTCTGTCACCCAGGCTGGAGTGCAGTAGCACGCTCACAGCCACCGCAGCCTTGACCTGCTGGGCTCTGGCGATCCTTCCGCTTCAGCCTTCCAAGTAACCGGAACCACAGGTGTATGCCACCATGCCCGGCCAATTTATTTATTTATTTATTTATTTATTTATTTGTTATAGAGATGGGGTCTTGCCATGTTGCCCAGGCTGGAGTGCAGTGGCATGCTCACGGCCACCGCAGCCTTGACCTGCTGGGCTCCGGCGATCCTCCCACCTCACCCTTCCAAACAGCTGGAACTACAGGCACGCACCAGCATGTCCAGCTCATTTTTGGATTTATTGTAGAGACAAGATCTTGCCATATTACTCAGCCTGGTTTCAAACCCCTGGGCTCAAGCAATCCTCTCACCTCCCTTTTTTTTTTTTTTTAAGTTTAAATAAAAGATAATTTATTAGAAGAATACAAAAGTTCTCACAGGGATTCCAACAGCTGTAATGGTTCAAAAGCCAGAGCTTTCTGAAGGATAGAGCATGCTGTCATCACAAACCAGTTCTGGGTTCTGCTCTGTCAAGAAGGGTATCCTAAAGAACGGTCCTCAGCTGGACTCGGTGGCTCAGCCTATAATCCCGCGCCTTTGGGAGGCTGAGGTGAGTGGATTGCCTGAACCCGCGGGTTCGAGACCCACCTGGGCAGCGAGACCTCATCTCTACAGTAAATAAAAAAATCAGCCGGGCGTGGTAGCGCATGCCTGTAATTCCAGCTACTTGGAAGGCTGAGGCGGAAGGATCGCCAGAGCCCAGCAGGTCGAGGCTGGGGTGGCCAGGAGCGGCCACTGCACTCCAGTCTGGGCGACAGAGTGAGACTCCAACTCAAAAAAAAAAAAAAAAAAAAGAACAGTCCTTGGGAGGCTGAGGCCAGAGGATTGCCTGAGTTCAGGGGTTCGAGACCAGCCTGGACTACTTAGTGAGACCTCATCTCTACAATAAGTCAAAAAATTAGCCGGGCGTGGTGGTGCATGCCTGTGGTTTCAGCTACTTGGGAGGTTGAGGCGGAAGGATCGCCTGAGCCCAGCAGGTTGACGCTGGGGTGGCCGGGAGTGTGCCACTGCACTCCAGCCTGGGGGAGAGTGAGACTCCAACTCAAAAAAAAAGAGAGAGAGACTAGAATGCGGATTCAGTTCTGTTTGCTTTTTGATCCTTTATAGTCCTTTATGCTGGCGTCAAACTTGTCAGCATGCCTCCCAGAGTGCTGGGATTACAGGCTTGAGCCACCACGCCCAGCCCCTAGGGCCTTTTTGTCTGCCTTTGCGTTCACTCTCTCTCTCTCAACAGTATTGTTTGAAGCCAGCCGGGCCTGGTGGCCTTTGCCTATGGTTCCAGCTCCTTGGGAGACTGAGGCTGGTGGATCGCTTGAGTCCAAGAGTTCCAGGCTGTAGTGCACTATGCCAATTGGGTGTTCACGCTAAGTTCAGTGTCAATATGGTGACCCTCAGGCATGGGAGACCCACCAGGTTCAAAACAAAACAGGTCAAAACTCCTTGTGCTGATCAACAGTGGGGTTGTGCCTGTGAATAGCCACTGCACTCCAGCCTGGCAACATGGTGAGACCCTGTCTCTGAAAAAATATTTTTTTAAAAAATTCTGTTTGGAAGCCATTTGGTGCTGACCTTCTTCAAACATTTCTCTTGAGACAGCTGTGTCCAACGTGATCACTCGTTCAACATTTATTGTTGAATCGCAGACCCCATCTACATTGTCCTGGGGTAAAATGCAGCCCCTGCACTTCATGGTAGCACTAGGCAGTTGTGTACAGTTGGGCAGGTTGTTCACTGCACAAGGCCATCCATTCAAGGGGCTGTCGTTCATACCATGACTATGCAGATGAATTCTGGCAAAATGACATGATTAACTCAGTAATATACATAATGCACTTGGTAGATAATGCACTCTTAAATGTTTAGTGTATACCA